AGTTGATAGGAGCGGTAGCCAAGAGATCTTTCTATCTGTGGTAATTCGGTTTCGCTTTATGGCGGTGATTTTTCCCAAGGAAAGTTTGCTGACTTTGATGGGGGCAATTTCGAAGCACTGTCAGTAGCCTATAGAGAGCAGGACTAATTGTACTAATATTGGTTGGAAGGTCGTTGTTGAAGGAAGTGCAAACCACGGTAGTATTGACAATGCAAAGAATGCTTCTTTTCAATTGATGGATTCGGCAGGCCACAAATTGGGCGGATAGAGGCATAAGTCCACACTAAACGTCCGAATCATCCATGGTACTCGGTACTTTGGCTTCCTCTGTTCACGGCTTACACCTTCAAGTTGAGGTTGGCTCTCATTTGCACTACGATAGACATTCCAGCTACACATAATGTACTTGATGCATTGTAAGCGCTTAATTGTTAATATCAAAATGTTTATGACTTTTGGTGGTGCAAATTTTGTTAGAAGTGAATTTCAGTACAAGTATTTTGCCTTCAAGAATAGCCTTGACTTCACCACGAATACTTCACTATTCAGTTTTTTTTAACGGAAATGTTAAACATTGATGGAAGTGTTCTGTCACCAATTTCTGAAGAGAGCTAAATTAAATATGAAGCTATTTTAGTTATTTTAATGGTTAAAATCGGCTGATAAAAATTTTGCCAAACATATTGAATTTTAAAAACTATTGTAAAATATAGAAGGCACCGTCGTAAATAGCAAAAGTAGTTCCAATCTATTGGTTATCTGAAAGCACGTTTGCTTCAAAGTAATTAAATACAATGCAAGCTTGGAAAAAGGAATTGAAATTGGACGAAAATATAAAATTTCAGTTTGAGTTTAGTTGCGCTTTCAAAAGTTGGGCTAGTTGTGCTATTCCGATTAATTGCTCCTTTTTAGTAAGTGGGTATGATCACCAAGAAATCTTAAATTTTTTTTGACCAAAATTGTTCTCGCTTTTCAGAACTGAAACTTTTACTGGATCTGTCTTTGGCCCTCTACTTCAACCAGTAGGCTTTATATGGCAACCTGTCAAAATCGACTTCGGTCTGCCATAAACAGACAGTTGAATAATTGAAATCGAGATAGGTATAATTGTATTTACTTTTTCGGGTAGCTTTCCCAAGGGAAAATTAAGGTAGCGTCACTGAACCGATTCGAGCTTTTACTCACTTCCTGAACAAAGTTGTAGACAGTTTTCTCACATATTTTTGGCTTCATTTAAAAAGACTTTTATTGTACATGATCTGCTTGTATTTTAAAATTATGTTTAATAAGTGCTAAGGTCAATTCGATCATTGCCCGCATTTACTTGAGTTCTTTAATGTGTCAAGTAGGAAGAAGATTCACGCAATGTGTTGGTATCTAGTGTGTGGTTCGATTTATTATTGATCAAATTGTTACATTTATTTATTTATTTCAAATGAAAGGCATTTTGATAGTTATCATTAACCCTTTAGTTGACTTCAGGCTCCACAGAGGGGAAGGAACATCAAAGTGACAAAAAGTCGAGATGAGGGGGGGGGAGAACAGAAGGGTGTCTCAAAGACGAAGGTAGGAAAAAGGTGAGGTGAGTACTGTGAAAGTAGTCGTGGAAAAAGGTGAGGTGAGTACTGTGAAAGTAGTCGAATATGGCATACAGTGGGGTCATGGCAGTTTGAAGTCAACTGCCACTTAATAGACTTTTTTGCCGTATGAGTACACGTTGCCCAGAGTGCACCACGAGGAGGTAAGTCTATCGCACACCCCGTAATTAAATAATAGATTTAGTGAAACATACCACCTGATGAACAAGCTAAAAGTGTAATCAATAAAGCATATGAAGTGAAACTAGGATTATTTACAGCCTCACCCAAGTTACCTTACAAATTTTTTTCTGGATGTGTTCCTGAAACCTACTGACCGTTTTCTTCTATGCATCTTTCCATTGCATTCTTTATCTTTTTTCAATCATATGCTTAATGAAATCGATAAAGTTCAGAAACCCAACAGATTGTGCATGTCAACTCAATAATTCCTATAGAATGCGACAATTTTCATCAGTAGGGAGATATTTTCATCTACTGAGGTGATATAATTGAACCAGACGCCCAATGCACACTCTAACCCCTAATCCTACGAAAGACACGCTTAAAACCAGAGATTATGGAGTTGACACTCATTACTGTACACTCACTGCGCTGATAAAGAGTGATGGAAATAGACTTTCTCACCAAGAAGCAACCTCGATGATAGTCCTCTACGAAAGGTGAACATTGGAAACAATTTCTTAAACAAACTTGAGACTGCTATTTTATGCTTAATTATTCACAGAAAAATTCGCCCTTTCCAATACACGTCATTCTCACGTCATTAAGTACTTTGCAAGCAATACAACATGCTAACCAGCTCCTGATTTGAAAAGACCATTCCATTAGCCACATCCCCGCAAAGTGAATAAAATAACGCCTGCCAAGAATACAAAAATTGCATAAAAGTTAACAACAAATGGACGGCGACGAATAAAGGAGCGAAAACAAAAATAGGCGATGAAAATGCAGAAATTAGCCCGGCAAAATTCTCCAAACAACCAGAGTCTGATCAGCAGACACGAAAACTGGGGCAAAGTAACTAGAAATCGATAAAGGAAAAGAATCTTTGGAGAAAGCTAGCGCACAAAGATTACCCTGAATATGAGAAAGAGAGGGATCAAGACGATCCCAGATTTCTGCCATTGAACAACCAGGTAGTGCACCCGAACTGAGGCATCCTTCACGTTCAATTACAACGAAGTCAGCCTAGATGGAAACAATTCAAAATTAAACATCGCAACTACTTCTAATTCGTAAGTAGCATTAACAATACCTTCAAAATGTCCCGATAAATTCGCCACACAGCTTCTGGAGGTTTACGGCTGAAGATGGAATAGACGAGTTCCGTACGCCAACGAATGACAACATTCTCATAGTGTGGATGATTTGTGACAGCGAATTTCGGCGTCCTCTTTCCTAAATTAGAGGGAACCAGGAGGGTAGAACGCAGAGTCGCCATTGTAGGCATAGCACCAGCAATGACCCAAGGTCGATCTGGAGGTTTATTTTGTGGAATTTGACTTATCCAATGAAGCAATGTCTCCGCAGTAAAATCTGAGAATTGACCCTTTTTATTCCATTCCTCCTGCAAGGTGTTAAAGCAATCGTTGTCATATATTAGACACAATTCGAGCTAATTTTTGAATTAAGGTCCCCAAAATAAATCAAGTGTACAAAATTAGCTTAGCATATTCCTATATGAAATCTC